TAAAGAGAGTTAAAGATAAAGAAAACTTGGAAAATAGCGTGAAATGGATTAGAATTATAGTGTATTGGAAATAAAGTGTAGAGCAATAGGAGAATGACTGCAAAGGAAAAGGGATTAGAGAGAGAGAGAAAATCGCGATCAGTATCACTGCCACCAGCACTCGGTATTGCACTTCCCATCCTATTAACCATTATTACAATACATTACAATCGCATTTCATTAACAATTTACACAAACTTTATAATTAATGGCTTATTATATGTAATATGAAATGATGAAATTAGAGTACATAATACTGGTTAGTTCACTATAACAGTTAAAGATTCACTTTTTAAAACCATAACACGAATTAAACTTAATTTATAACAAACATTTGAATAAAATAGATGCCACACAAACTACTATTGAAATAAATGCTTGATATCTTAAGCAAAGGCAAGTTGAAGGCAATAACAGGTCAATTATTATCAATTCGCTGGTGAATCGGCAACTGATCGGCAATTAATAAAGTTTTTTTCTTGGTTTTGGCACTAATTGTTTGATGTAATGAGAGAGAAGTTGTCTTACCTTTGAGTGAACACCAGTTCATAGTTATATAAATCGTAATCGCGATGAATGGCTGAGAGATAGAGAGGAAGTGGTGACTAAATTTGGTTAACTTATCCTTTGAGGCGAACACACGAGGGCTAACACTGGCGTCAATTCAAATGAAATCATCTTATATGAGAGAGAGAGAGAGAGAGAGAGAGAGAGAATATTAAATTAGTTGAGCATCAGTGCAACCATATTAGCGAAACATATAGTGACCATAAAAAAATGTTTTCCAAAACGATTATAATTTTTCAATCGTTAGCTTCACTTTGTTTTTTTACCCGTTTCTCTATGCATAGCATTACTTATCGCTGTAATTATCTTTAAGTTTAATAATATATTTTTGATGCATTTATACTTTACATAAATATTTGGCCGAATTTATATAAGTTAAGCACAGGTATCCACTGGAAACCATTACTCGCTTATTACATACGTGTGTTTCCACACTATGCTGTACTCATACGATAAACACATTATTATTAATATAATATTTATAAAATACTGACTCGTTTTGCGCTACAATTCTCTAACGAAATGATAAAAATCGGGTCAAATTGAGTCGTTGTTTCAAAACTATATATACCGTACGGAATATATTCTGTATATAGAATATAGTGTATACAGAATATATACAGTATATATGGTATCGTTTAAGTCAACGACAAAAATATATGAAATAATTAGATAATGAGTAAATGAGTAGCGAATAAAACTGTCAAAATAAAAGCACATTTCTCAACAAAATTCAATATTTCTTATTTGTTTCAATTTTTTATACAATTTTATAGATTTTAATACATTTTTTCTTATCTTATGTTTTGAGTGGACACTAAACAGATGTTTACTTTTATGTCTTTATATAAACTCTTTATTATAGAGTTAACAATAAACAAAATCCAGTGAATAATTCACTTTTTACTTGTTTTCTCATAATATTTACCGCAATATATCACTCAATAAACCATTCTTTTGATAACCAATAGAAATAAGTGAATATTTTGTTTCATATAATAAAAAATAATATACAAACTTAACAAAAATTATTTATACATCATATATAATATTCATTTGTTTTGTCAAAAAACTCTTGTCTTTTCGCAACCAATTATAATAAATTTTATCATTTTTTTGTAATGAAATAAACAATTTTGTAATATAAATATTAATATATATTTATGTAATAATAATAATAGTGTAGAATATAATGAATTGAGCGTTCATTTGGGAGAATTTGTATTAGAGTTAGTTTTTATGATTTCATTGTGCATATCATTCAAAAACCTAATACTTTATATAAAGGTCTCGTAATTTGGAAAAACATAAATATAAAGCTTTGTTTCACATTTTCATAGGTTATAGTCATATGTAATAATAATAATAATAACTAATATATTAATTGAAAAAATAAAATTCACATAATATTTAACGATTAGTTATATTATTCTGTTATATATTGTATTGTTATATATCTGTTTAATATACTGATGGTTGGATTGGGGTATGGAATGTGTTTGTGATCCAAATGAATAGGCAGGCAGTGCTCGACTAAATCATTAATAGGAGAGCCATATATAATAATATAATATAATAATTGTAATAATAATCGTTAGAAAGTATAGTAAAGTAATATTAAATTTTTGTTTTGGTTTTATATAAATTAAAAACTCTTTTTATGTCATGTCTATCTTCTGGTCTCTCTATTTTTCATTGTATATTCTCATCATTAAAGCGCCACTCATTCAATGTGTTTAACTTTAAAGTTTTGATTATAACTGGTCTGCAAATGACTCCACTTCTCTCGACTGCATTCATATTTTAGGCACAATTTTAAAGATACCTTAAATTATGTAATATTTTTATGTTTGGATATTTTAAAAGTATAAATTAAAAATACATGAATTTTCTTTGTATTGTAATGTATTGTGTTTTTAAACATTAGTATTAAAACAATTTTTCATATCTTTAACGGACGGCGTTTTTGCTATCAAAAGCTTATTATTATATTTATTTTGTTGTTATATTTTCGACAAATAATTATTTTTTACGAAACATTTAATGAATAAAATTTTTACGATTTCATAGAAGTAATGGAAATATATATTAACGATGAATAAAATATAATAAAAATGATCACAAAATACAAAATACTGACGAATTGTTTATTTTGATGACCATTTGTTGTGAACAACAGTTTTGATGATCGATAGGATTTGTGTGTTGAAAGAAGAGTTGTCTCCTCTCACTCGCACTCTCTTCTGGTTATAAGTTATTCAAAAAGGTATTGATGTGTTTGAGATGTCATTACATAATAGTCAGTCATATAGTCATAATAGTGAATATATTGTACATAATAAATATAATAGCTATCTAGTAGTCGAGGGCACCGATCCATTTCCTAGCGCTCCCTGCCTTAGCAGAGGAAACCGTTTATCAATAGCACCGGTATTATTGTTCACTCTATTCATGGCCTGTTGACCGGCATTGTTGTTGGATCTACTGATGGCCTGTTGGCCGGCATTGTTGTTGGATCTACTGATGGCCTGTTGGCCGGCATTGTTGTTGGATCTACTGATGGCCTGTTGGCCATTATTGTTGGCAACACTGGTATCGTTGGGAGCGTTCACTTTCGATGGGCTGAGCGATGAGTTTCTAAGCAATGGTGTAGTCATTTGGTCACTACTGTTATCGTACTGTAGATTCTGGTCGACATAGCATTGGTTGTGAGCGTTGACATAGTTTTTGCACATTTGATGCGACTTTTGACTCATAAACATATCGTCACTACTTGTAGAGGAAGCGGATGACGACAGGCCGTCGCTCTCCATCGACGCCAATATTTTTGGCCGACGGTATTGCTGTTGACTCGGGGGTCGACTTAACGGACTGACTGGCAGTTCCCGGTGTTGACGGTATCTCTGTTGCAAGAGATACTCCTGGTGTTCAACAATGGCAACAGTGACCGGAGGGTCGTTATCCTCCAGATATAGATCCATATTCAGTGAATGCGATGGAGAGCCGGAACACGAGCACCGGGAGGACCGCCACTTCGAGGGGACGACCAGAGAGCAGCCCTCGGGATCGCTGAGTTCGGTGTCTTGAGGCGATGGCAAACCGAAATATGTGGTCTCAATATTTGGACTCAACAGATGACTGGTCCCACTTGAAGGAGATGTGAGGCAAGGCATGACCTGATCTGCAATTGAATACCTTCTCCTATGTTTGCTTACCTGCTGCTGATGTCGACCACCACTACTACCTCCTCCTCCACTACCACTACCACTGCTAATAGGTTTTGAGGATTTGGGCGCTGAGTAGCCGAGAATGGGTTCGCCGTCATTGAAAACGGTCTCTTGTATTGTCTCATGAATTCGTTTTGTGCTTTCAATTGCATTACTATTCGATGATATCGTTGCTAATGGAAGTGTTAGGGCGCCGGCGTTTGCACGACCTTTGCCTCCAACCGAATCGGTTGTTATGGACGACAACTTTCTGGCGATTACAGTACTGGACAGCGATGTGGACGCGCCTAACGTCCCGGCGGTCTCAGGTTTGACGGGCACTACTTTCACGCCTAACGTATCTCTCACTTCAAACGTGAGCACACAGGCGGCCACAATCACTATACCGCCCAAACCCATCACCACTGGCCCGACATAAGTCAGGTTATGGAGGTGTTGTTTGGTGTCCGGATCGATGGTCGGCACTACTGTCCCGTTCTCTAACTTCACGTGATCTACAGCTAACGGCTCGGCGAAGAAGCCGACCACAGACATGACCGTACCTAACATGAGGAGCACAATACCGCCGCTGAGTGCCTTCAGAGCAATGCAGAAGCAATGCCAGGTGCACCTCAACCGGGGCTCGTCCTCCTTGTTCTTGTCGTTATCTTTGTCTTTGTCGTGGTTTTCCCGATGCGCCGGATGTGGATAAAACTCGTGCGGGTGTTGGCCCGCGAACTGAGCAAATTTCTTGTCGGCGTCGGGACCTAAAGAATGGGCGGCCGGTGAGTAGGTTCTGCCCCCTTGAAGGCCTGGTAAATGTGAAGGAGTTCTGGCTCTACCTTTGAATGGCTGCGGCGGCACTAATGGTCCCGACACTCGCCCAGTGGTCTGTTGTTGGCGGAGCTGTCGTCCAATTACTGCCGCACTGTTCATAATATTGAATCAATTATAGCATACAAAACAAATGCCAATTTCATTGGCGACAAGTATTTGTGTGTTTAAAGAGTTGTCGTTCACTAACTGGATTCAAAGGGCAAGCATTTCATGGTTTGTCTGTTTTAGTTATTAATCAATTGTCTGGTTTATGTTCGAGCAGTTCATTGTCATTATGATCGAGCAGTTCCACAAACAAAGACATCGCATCCATAATCAGTAATCATAATAATCATCACATATTCATCCACTAATTTATAGTTAGTTTTTCATAACTCGTGCGAACTTTTCATATCATTTTCTATGATATTTAATGAACACTACGTTATTAGAAGTCGTCGTTAGAGACAAAGTCAGAGCAATAGTAATAATGGAGAGAATAATTGGCAAATTGTGTCAGATATTCATTCATTATAATGTATGGACAATCAAATCAATATAATCCGGACTGCATTCCGCATAATTCAATTCAATGGCAATAATTCATCTAAATTTGCGATAATATTCATCACAATTCTCATGTCATCGCAACTACCGATTCAATGATATTCATATACATAATAGTAATCTATTGTAATCTATATATTAATAAATTTCTTTAATATAATGGATAAATAACTTATAAACGTATTCAATACATATTAATGGATAACAAATGTATTATCGGTGAGAGTGTGAGAAAAATGGCAGAAATGCATTGAATTACGAAAAAGAGCACATTCTTCTAGTTTTGTAGAAAATGGTGTGAATTATATATAATTAAAGTGCAATTAACGTGCGTTTAATGTCTTTAAGATATATATTTTTTTGGCTGGTTTTTTGTGTCAATACTTTCAGTACAACTACTTGTGAAAACACTACCACTACTGTAGCACTACTACTAAATATACTACTATTTTCTATTGCATTTCCAGCACATAAGCAATCAATACATTATTTTCAAAAATACGAAAGTCAAGTGAAAAGTGAGAGCAGAATCTAATATTCAAAAAGAAAATCTGCAAAAATCGTGAACATAAGAAGTAAAGTAAAGTCAATGTAAAGGTGCACTCGTTTACCAAAAAAAAACAATACAAAAAACACAATCTTATTTTATATGACTATTATTTATTGTTAAAGCCGTTCATATATAAAGAATATTCTGTGTGTATATGTGTTATTCTGCAATAATAATAATCTATATGTTGAGTTAGTATATGAAGTGTGAATTGGTTTTTCTACCTCATAATGGCTCACAATTAAGTGTTGATACAGTTTCACAACTGTTTGGTTGTGGCGTTTGGTTCAGTAGCAGAATTGCGATACAAATTGTGAGAGCATTTGTTATATGCTTTTCTCATATAACATATCTGTTTAGCTCTCTGTTAAGCCAGTCATCTGGTATTCAAAAGAATATATGTTTTGAATAATTTAAGTTTTTGAATGAAAAAAACCTCTAATCTCACAGAACAACAAACTCTGTTTTGTGAACCAATGTAACCATTTTCTCCATCACTTCCTTTTGGATGCATCTGAAGGAGCGATAAGAAGTTAAGTCAGTAATCAAATTAGGATTATTTTGCCTGTAAATCAGTTCATATATTATATAATAATTATTTCATCGCATTATTATATAATAATTATATATTGAATAAAGAGAGTTAAAGATAAAGAAAACTTGGAAAATAGCGTGAAATGGATTAGAATTATAGTGTATTGGAAATAAAGTGTAGAGCAATAGGAGAATGACTGCAAAGGAAAAGGGATTAGAGAGAGAGAAAATCGCGATCAGTATCACTGCCACCAGCACTCGGTATTGCACTTCCCATCCTATTAACCATTATTACAATAAGTTACATTACAATCTCATTTCATTAACAATTTACACAAACTGTATAATTAATGGCTTATTATATGTGATATGAAATGATGAAATTAGAGTACATAATACTGTTTAGTTCACTATAACAGTTAAAGATTCACTTTTTAAAACCATAACACGAATTAAACTTAATTTATAACAAACATTTGAATAAAATAAATGCCACACAAACTACTACTGAAATAAATGCTTGATATCTTAAGCAAAAGCAAGTTGAAGGCAATAACAGGTCAATTATTATCAATTCGCTGGTGAATCGGCAACTGATCGGCAATTAATAAAGTTTTTTCTTGGTTTTGGCACTAATTGTTTGATGTAATGAGAGAGAAGTTGTCTTACCTTTGAGTGAACACCAGTTCATAGTTATCTAAATCGTAATCGCGATGAATGGCTGAGAGATAGAGAGGAAGTGGTGACTAAATTTGGTTAACTTATCCTTTGAGGCGAACACACGAGGGCTAACACTGGCGTCAATTCAAATGAAATCATCTTATATTAGAGTCAAAAAACACTTGACACACACGTTGGCACTCAAACAGAGCCAATAATTACTTTTATTTTTCCAATGCTGTAAATGTTTGAAACAATTTCTATAATTTTTGAGCACAATTTAGAGGAGTTATTAAAAAGTAAACTCTTTTTTAAATTTGAAGTGAAACTAATTGTAAAGGAATGGGTAAACGGACCGATGGACTGATGGACTGACGGACTAACAGGTTATGAAAAGCGAGACAACGCTCGCCGAATAGAGTCCAAACATATCTATAGATTTATATAACAGAATATTCTGTTGTGTTGTATATATATAGGGATGGAATGAGAAGGCAGTCGGAAATGGTGTTCCATCGACTATATGGCCAGTTGTGTGGAGTTGTGTTTGTTGTCAATTCGATGCAAAGCACTGGCACTGAATGCTATGTCTGGTGAGCGCCCGACATATCAGACATGCTCTCAATGGCTCTCTCTTTCTCGAAACGATCGATTCATTTGACGCATTAATTGTGATCACGAGCTCAGACTCAGTTCAGGACACACTCAACAGCGCTCACAACAAACCCGACTACAAATCCAAACGCCACTCGTCTCCACTACAAACCCATACATCTCTCCCGCACTCTCTCCTTCCCTCTCTCCCTCACTCCCCGCTCTCTCCCTTTCTCTGCCTCGCTATCTGTGCCGGTGTTGTTGTCTTTCTGCCCAATTCTGGTCTACACTTTTTCTTCGCTTATTATTAATATTATTATACCATATATTCTATAGTATTGTTCTCATGCTTTCCTTCAGCTGTGTTTTTCCATTAATCTATTGCCAGCCCTTTGTTTGTGTCATTTATTTCTCGTCTAACTTATCATTTCTGTCTTCAGTGACCGAACACTTCACTCACACTTCAATCAATTTCCAATCGCGAGCACAAACACCGGCTCTACTCATCCCAAATCATTTCATTAAATAATAATAAAAACAATAATTATTGTTATTATTTAAGGAATTTCTCTTTTTGCCGGTCGGATAAAAGAGTCATTTTTCGTTAGGAAAGGCTGTCCACCACTTCCTAACAATTTCGTGCGATAACTGTAACCCAAGACCCGTTTTATTTGCATATGTGAACACACTTTAGCCCAAAGTCAACACTCCATCTCATTATTACATTGAATGCAAAATACTTTTTTAAGTAAATACTTAATCAAAAGAGTCGATATAATATGTTTAGTTTGCAATAACACCAAATTCAAAATGCGTTCATTAATAATTGGCAGACATTTGAACCGTCAAAACACTTTATATATCGAGAATATCAAACATCACAAAAATTAGCGAATAAACCAAGAATTAGAGATTTAAAAGATTAATAATATTTCGCAGTTTTGTTAGTAATGTCTGACTATAACCACTCGAAAGTTGTGTCGGTATACTGTATAAAATACAGTGTATTTTATATCATATATTCTGTAGTAGTGTTTGGGAATTAAATCATGTAAAGCCGCGCCCATAGAGCCAAACACTGGCGACCGATAGACACATATATCGATACCAGAAAAAACATTTTGAGCCAAAGTTTCCGAAAACTGAATTTTATTGAATAATGTTTTTTCTGTAAGAAAAAGATATATTTGTTAAAAAAGATATTTAAGAGACGAATGGAAGTGCATTACAGTAAAGCCTCTATAAAAAGGAGTAAAAATCAAAAATTCTTTTGTAATAAATTCTTGAATTGGAATCTCTTATGGAAGGAATTGGGAAATATATACAGAATAACGTATATATGTATTATAAATACAGTCATATATTATATTCAATATACAGTATATCTATGTTAACGTTCACTTGTAATCAGTCACGCAAATGATTTTATTAGAAAATATATAATGATTTTAATATTATATAATATATATCAGTATATCATGTATTAGGAGTTAACGATTCTGTTAAAAAAGCTCGACTCCACTCACGTTAGCTTTTCTTTGAACGGAGAATAAACACAATATAGAAATCTGTAGAGAATTCTCTCTCTCTCTCTCTCTCTCTCTCTCTCTCTCTCTCTCTCCACTAACTATTGAATCATATTTTTCTTTATTTCGCATTCATTTATTCGATTGAATTTCTGACTGACATATAATAAGACATTCAGACAAATGTCGATAATATGTTATATTCTTATAAATGGCTTTTATCTCAAATGATTCAATGAACTCATGCTTTTGATGGCATCCAAAGACATCAATGAGAGTCTATTTGTTTTGTGTTCAATTGTGAACAATTGTGTGACTCGTTTCATCAGTCATTTTATTCGTTCAGTTAGTTATTAATCGAAATTCACTGCAATTTAGACAATAAATAAATACAGGAATACATTGATGTTTAATATAAATGGTATTAATAATAATAATAGTCAGTCGTAATAGTTATGCACAAAGAATTTTATTTAACAAATAACTGAAAATAAAAAAACATTATTATTATAATATTTATGTTTTACAAATAACTTATAATCAAATATCACATGTAATATATATTAAATACAAGTAATAATAATAAAAACTTTGAACAAAAGATTTATTGGTTTATATATTAATAAATATTATTGAGTTTTGAGTGATTTTTTAGCCAAAATTGTCGGTCAAACAAAGTATTTAAGTCCTGTAACGACCATAAATTTTTCAATAAATAACTCCGAGTCGAGTACAGCAATATGTGCGGCCCGTCCTATCAGTGCGTTTGCATTACTGGCCAGAGAGTGATGGACGTCATAACGAATTAATTTTATACTTGATTTACTCATTAATGGATGTAATAAATTGTTAACCATTTCTCGATAGGCTATACCTAAAGCATACAGAAGGAGAGAGAAAAGTCGTCCATAAGAATGACAGCGAATGTAAAAAATACCAAAAAAATTAGAAACAAATACAAAAAGATTGGGACTAGAAGTGAATTATTGGAAAAACTTGTTTGAAAGGCAAACACTGAGTCAACAAAAATAAGTAACAAAAAAGCGTAGAAATAAAACAAAAAGCAATTAATTTTAATTATAACGCGAAGAAAAGTTGCACTTTTTGTCCATTAGTGTCCCTCTTATACAAGAAGTTATGGTCAATCCTATCGATATCTTTCGATTCGCAACTCTTTTATTCGTAATTCTGTTTAACTCTGATTTAACTCTGAGTTTATGTTCGCAATCGACTCGTGAAAAGAAATTGAAAGTTTCGCAGAAAATGTTGTGATTTTTTGGGCACAAATTTTTAATGCCTTCGCAAACAATCAATAAATGAAATATTTGAAGAAATTTTCTCGAAGGCACACAAATACTATAATCAGTGGATTCTCTGCCAACTCTTAACTACTGTATGTCCAGTGAACTAAATTTACTATTGATGGTACTATTGATGGTATTAACTGTAAGTGTAGTGTATGTGCACTACATATACTGTACATATACTGTATGTATACAAACCATTAGGAGACGTATCATTGAGTGAGGAATTGCAGAGCTCGATGTGTGCGGAATGTATGGGCACGTAGTGGTCCTGTGATGAACCGCATAACAGAATATTCTTGAAATACTCTAAACCCGATTCTTCGCTCAATCGATAGAGATATGTCTGTCTCGGATCACTCGAGTCCTTCATCGCCAACTGCAACAACGATCCAGACTTCTTCCACTTCTGCATAAACCACAGACCTATACATACATTATATTCAATAAATTATATTTTGTTAGTATTAGAAGGTATTAAAAATGATTGCATAAGTATTACGGTTTACCAACAGAATAAAAACGCCACTAAATATACAATAGTATAACAAACATCAATATTGTCAACACAGGCAGTACTTGTTATCATATATTTTATAC